GCGTGTGGGGGGGGGGGGCCCCCCCGGGGGGGGGGGGAGGGGGAGGGGCAGAGTCCGGCGTGGCCGAGGTGGCCAAAGTCCGGCCGAGGTGGCCGCGGTCACCCGGGCTGGGGGTGGGGACATGGGCACAATGTCCCTGAGGTCCCCAAAGTCCCCGAGGTCCTCAAAGTCCCCCAGGGTCCCTGAGGTCCCCAAAGTCCCCGAGGTCCCCAAAGTCCCCGAGGTCCCCAAAGTCCCCGAGGTCCCCGATGTCCCCAAGGTCCCCAAAGTCCCCGAGGTCCCCGAAGTCCCCAAAGTCCCTGAGGTCCCTGAAGTCCGGGAGGTCCCCAAAATCCCCCAGGGTCCCCAGGGTCCTTGAGCCCGATGTCCCCAAGGTCCCCGAGGTCGCTGAGGTCCCCGAAGTCCCCAAAATCACCAAGGTCCCCAAAGTCCCCGAGGTCCCCAAGTCCCCGAGGTCGCCGTTCGTGGTGTCGCAGCCACTCCCAGGACAGGGGACACGGCGGTGACGTCACTGCCCTGCTGGTGGCACCCGTGTGACAGCGGGGGTGGCCCCGGGTGGGGACAGGCGGGTCATGACCCCTGACCTGTCCCTGTCCCCTTGTTCCTGTCCCCATGTTCGTGTCCCTGTCCCCGTGTTCCCCTGTCCCCATCCCTGTCCCCCTGTCCTCGTGTCCCCCTGTCCCCCCTGTCCCCATCTCTGTCCCCGTGTCCCCACTGTCCCCATCCCTGTCCCCACTGTCCCCGTGTCCCCTCAGGGTGTCTCCAAGCCCTTCACCGAAGTCATCAAGGCCAACATCGGTGACGCGCACGCCATGGGCCAGCAGCCCATCACCTTCCTCCGCCAGGTACGGCCTCGGTGCCACCCCAGGGCCACCTCGGGGCCACCCCGGGGCCACCAGGGGCCAATCCCGGCCCGTTGTCACCCTGCTGTCCCCTCAGGTGGCCGCGCTCTGCCTGTGCCCGGAGCTCATGAAGGACTCGTCCCTCCCCAGCGACGCCAAGGAGCGAGCGCGGCGACTTCTATCGGCCTGCGGTGGCCAGAGCGTGGGTCGGTGTCACCTCCCCTCCTCGGCGACAACCCCTGGGGGTGTCACCTGCGGTGGCTTTTGGTGGGGACAGGTGACACGGTGGCTGTCCCCCTGCCAGGTTCCTACAGCGCCAGCCCCGGCGTGCAGATGGTGCGGGAGAACGTGGCGCGCTACATCGAGCGGCGCGATGGTGTCCCCGCCAGCCCCGACGACATCTTCCTGTCCACGGGCGCCAGCGACGCCATCGTGGTACGGTGACATCGGCCACCACCCCCCTGGGGACACCGGGCTCGGTGCCACCACCCCTCCCCCGGCCGTTCCCACGGAGGACAAAGGGACCTTTGTGGCCGGGGGTGGCGCTGGGCCCGGGCGGTGTCGCCGCGCCGGGGGTGGCACCGCGTTGTCGCCGAGGCCGGGTGGTTGCCGTGGTTATGGTGGCGCTGTGCCCTTCCCCCCCTTGTCCCCTCGCTGTCCCCTCGCTGTCCCCTCGTGTCCGAAGGTCACTGCTGGGGGTCTGTTGTGGTCGCGGTGTCCCCAAGGGTGTCCCCAAGTTTCTGTCCTGTGGTTGTGGCCACCATCCTGCCCGTTGTCGCCGCTGTCCCCCCCGTCCTGTCCCGTCGTTGTGTCCGTGCCCACCCCAAACATGTCCCCGTGGTGTCCCCTCATTGTCCCCGTGGTGTCCCCTCACTGTCCCCACAGTGTCCTGATTCCCACCCCATCCTGTCCCCTCATTGTCCCTATGGTGTCCCTGTGATGTCCCCGTGGTGTCCCTTCATTGTCCCCGTGGTGTCCCTTCACTGTCCCCACGATGTCCTGACAGCCACCCCATCTCGTCCCCTCAATGTCCCCTCAATGTCCCCTCAATGTCCCCTGGTTTTCCCCACGATGTCCTGACAGCCACCCCATCCTGTCCCCTCAATGTCCCCTCAATCTCCTTCCACCCCTCAATGTCCCCTCAATGTCCAACCCCAACCCCTCATTGTCCCCTCACTGTCCCCTCAATCTCCCGCCCCCCCCCCCCGCGCCCCCCCCCCTCC